TTATTAAAACTTCAAAAAAGAACATGTCTGCCAAAAAAATTACAAAAATCTTGCGTAACAATATTTGTTAATTTACATAATTAACCCAATTGACCTGATAACAATGAACAAATTATATAAAAGGAAAAACTATTTTATTTTCAATGTTTCGTAGTTTGGAAGAAAAAAACTCAAGTTGAATCACTTTTTTAAAATCAAAACAAACAATTCTTTGTTTATTGTTTGGAGTACGTGGAATTGGGAAGAGAAAATTCTGTATTAGGAGCGGGGGGGGTGTTAAACAGCTGACATTTGATGACGACATTTATAGAAGACGACTTTTAAAATTGTTATTACTATGCAATAAATTAATAACATTTGTTGTAAAGTGTATTTAATTGCCTCAAAAGTAATATTCTTAATTTATTAACAAAAAATTGATGAAAGTTTAACATTAATTTCATTTGAATCCATAACCTTCGTTAAGAACTTTAAAAATAGAATGTTATAAGCAGACATTTTTATGTTCCGAGCGCGGCAATGGCGCTTTTGCGTAATAATTCATAAATCCGAAAAAAATTATTTTTTATTTTATTTTTAGAAGTAAGAATTGAGGGGGTACACTTATGTACATTTATCCACATTAAGGCGTATTTTAATTAATTATGGTTCATCTCATTTTAATGTCACAAGTTGTATATCTGTTCAGGCTGACCAACCGGACGACGCGACCTTTGGGGATTAAATTTTTATCCCCTAAAAATGCAGATTTGGGGATTTTGGAAGTCTTTGGGGATATGGGGATTTGGTAATTTTCTAGAGAGCGAATTTTGGACCCCCCCCGGCCCCCCCCCTCCTATTAATTTTTTACATGGATCTTAAGAGGATCTTAAATGTAAGACATGTGGCCGCAGCGCTCGGCCCCCTAAGCATGTCCTAGCCGCAGCGCTCGGCCCGGAGAAAGTGTCTTAACCTAACCTAACCTTAAATTTAGTATTTTCTGCATTCATATCTAGTTTGTTAATTTACTATATAGTTGATTAATTCAATTAACTAGTTAATTGATTCATTATTTAGTTGATTTATTCATCAACTAATTAATTTTTGTAAGATTTTTGTAAGATTTTTGTTACTTTTTATATATTTGTATGAAAATCATAAGTAAATTCAATTTATTAAATCTTGCTATACAATAAGTATCCATTTTTCTTCATGCGNTATATATATATATATAATATATATATATAATTTGTCTAAAAATAATCAGTTATCCTTATTTTTGACTAAAACCGATGGCTACTTGTGGTAATAATTGTTTCAATTGCCAACCTTTGCCTTTAAAATTGGTCCACATTTGGTGAATTTTAAGGGATTTCCAATTTATGTTTAGGTGATGAAAAGGAGTTTTCTTCTAGTTTTAGGGAATAATTCAATTTTTACAGATGATCACCCAGGTTCTGTTGAAACTAACCAAATTTAAAAGTTTTTATGTTGATACTTCAATGCTATTATTGTCATTTTTTGATTCATAGAATAAACAATGGCTGGAACTTCTGGTGGGAGTGGGAATGAAACAATGGGAGAGGAGGAGGGGGAATGGGAATATTACGATGATGATCAAGTTCTCCCGGATTTTTGGCAGGTTGGAGTTTTGGATGATTTTTCAGAGGACGTGATTTTTTTCCAGCTTACAGTTTTTCTTTTATCGATCTAGAAAATATATTTTTTTCTATGTGACATTATTTTTGTATGTAAATCGTCCCAAATCACTAGAGTAAACCGTCTAAGCCTGAAAAGGTCTTGTCTTTAGAATGTTTAAGAGTTTTCCTTTTAATTCGTCCAATGTAGAAATATCACATTTATGTCAAGTTTCATCTGATAAGTATATGTACTTAAAATTAAAAGTCTACTGAAATTTCCTAATGGCTAGTCATTTTATTTTTTTAATAAACTGTCTTTTTACTAAACATTTTGTGTTTATTAATGTTTAATTAATTAATTAAATTTAAGAACTTGTTTCCAGTTTTTATAACTTTGATATAAAAAAGTTGAATGTTGTACAAATGTAAAATTTTATCGAATCAAGTGTTTGAGAGGAACAATTTTGATATTTTAAAGTCTTGATTATTTAGGGGTTTGTAGATTCTGGAACAGATTTTAAGAAACCTGTGGAATCTTGGCTTCGATATTTCTCAGCACCGTTTGGTAACTCAACATTTTTTGTTTGTTTGAAATATTTAATTTATAAAAGTTTTCAGTTTTGACGTTTATTGTTTGTCAATAAACGCCAAAACTGTTGAACCGATAGGGCCAAAATTTTTTGTGGGACCTCGCGTGACCTCAATGGAAGGTTTATGGATAATCGAATTTTCAAAAATTTGCTTCTAACAAAATGCGATTTTTTAAAAAATTTGAAAATCCACGAAATGTTTTTTATAAAATCCGCGAGTTTTTTGTTTTGTTTTACAATGTATTCAAAGAGAAAAGTTAACAAATGAAATAGATGATAAGGGCGTCTAGTAATTTAAAAATAACATTTTCTCATTAATATAAACAAATGAAAAGCAAGTAAATACATAACACAAAATTTCATTAAATTACTTACTATTGAATGATTTGTTGAAACACTTAAACTTTCTTATTTCATAATATTTGTCAAAATGTCATCAAAATTAAACGTTTATCTTTTTATTTTATAAATCAGACAAAGTGTTTATAATTTAGGGAATCCATATGGTTGGAATATGTATCTGTTTATATTTTAGAGAATCCATACGGTTGGAATATGTATCTGTTTATGTTTTAGAGAATCCATATGGTTGGAATATATATCTGTTTATATTTTAGAGAATCCATATGGTTGAAATATATATCTTTTTACATTTTAGAGAGTCCATATGGTTGAAATATATATCTGTTTATATTTTAGAGAATCCATAAGGTTGGATAAGTATGTATGTGTTTATATTTTAGGGAATCCAGAAGGTTGGAATATATATCTTTTTATATTTTAGGGAATCGATATGGTTGGAATATATATCTGTTTATATTTTAGAGAATCCATATAGTTGGAAAATGTATCTGTTTATATTTTAGAGAATCCAAATGCTGGGAATATGTATCTGTTTATGTTTTAGAGAATCCATATGGTTGGAATATGTATCGTGAGTTCTGGAGGGTTTGGGTTCCTCTTCTTCTAGCTCCTAGGTAGTTTATTTATTCATTCATTCATTCATTCAGTCATTCATTTATTCATCCTTTCATTTATTCATCCTTTCATTTATTCATTTATGCATGCGTTCACTGTTTATTTTTTAACTTATCAATCGACCATTTGGTCAAATTGTAAGTGGTAATCTTTTCTCTGATCACAATTCACAATTACATCTTTTTGATTACAATTGAAAGGATTGAGCTAAAGGGACTGTAAGGGTTATTTCAAAAATCGATTGAGTTAAGCTTTATTTCTGCAAGATGAGAAAATGAGTTAAACTATTGCTCTTTATTCAAAAGTTAGGGATGATTTGATTAAATTCTCTCCATATAGAGGGAGGGAAGGCAGATATACCGCAACAATTTCTAATCACGCCGCAGAAAATGTATTGCGGCAAGTGCGCATAACAATTTGTAATATATACCTCTACTCTAGGCATAACACAACAAGTGTTGATAAGCTGAGTGAGACCGAGGAGAGAAGAATCCAGGAGATTCTTCTTGACACGCTGCTACAATTCATCGCGGGCACTGAGCAGGTCGGTCATCCTTATATTAAAGGGAATGAACTAATGAGAAAATGAGAATTCGATACAAAATCATACACTGATGAGTTTTTTATTTTTCTTATTTTAATGTCTTATCATAATTGTCCAAAAAATTCAACTAATATTTACTGATCTGGAATATAAATTCATAAGTCAAATCACTTCTATTCAACATGCATTAGCTAAATCATAACTAAAAAAAAAATACAAAAAGATAATTAACCGGGAGGGAGATTCTCTTTGACCGCACTTGACTAAATGTGTGAAACATTTGTTTGGCAACTAGCTGACAAAATGAATCGGACCGATGGAGCTATTGGACACCTCTCTTTTCATGAATTGACATGAATTGAATTGAATTGGATTGGATTGGATTGGATTGGATTGGATTGGATTGGATTGGATTGGATTGGATTGATTTTATAGAAAATGTAAAACTTCAAAGATTTCAAAAATGTTTAACAATGGCTTCCTTACAGTGTTAACTTTGGTTATTACTACTAAAGAATACATTATTATCACCAATTCACGTTTAACAAATTTGAATATCAATTTTGAAGTTACACAAGCCGACTTTTTGTAATCTATATAATAAAACAAGACATTCATATATATGTTGCCTATTGCAGGCCAAACGGCTGGACCGAATGGGCTAACTTTGTTTGAGGGAACCCATTGGTACTCCGGGGGTAACTTAAGCTAAAAAAAAAAGAATTTTTTTTCTTTTTAAATTTCATTATTTATTTTTAAATCGGAAAAAAATTTAAATTCGATTTTTAATAATCCCACGGGCAACTCCGGACCTTTAAGCTATTTATTAACAATTTCTTTCTTTTTTTCTGAAAAACATGCGTTTTAATTTTTGAAGTTTTGGATACAGTTTTGAAAATGAAGATGAAATCTGTCAGAGAGTTGTTTATCGTGAAAGTCGAAGCGAAAGAATACAAGAATAGATTTACTAATTTATTATATATTTGTCTATTTATTCTAGTATAACACTGTGTTTGATGAGTTAACTGCTCAAGATACACCATCAGCATTGTGTGGGTATGTTTTCAAGAACGGGGATACATGTTACAACTGCAGGTATATTTATCGGTTTATTAATTGATTGATTGATTGATTGATTGATTGATTTGTCTAGGGATTGTGGACAGGATGCTACATGTGTTCTCTGCGCTAAATGTTTTACACACAGTGAACACAAAAACCATAGATACAGGTTAATCTTTATCTTAAACTTATTCTAATGAGATTAAGTCATTTTCTTGAGATTAACTGTGTTCCTTTTGGTTCAAAGATCAGAGATTTGGCTTTTTGTTTTGCATTGAATCTTGTTCTCTGAGCTTTTTGTACTCAAATATTTTAGTCTCTTGGGCCACTCTTCTTTTTTAACAAGTTTTTTTTTGCATTTTGGTTTTGTTTCTGCAGTTGGGTTTTGTTCAAGATATTTAACATTGTTACTATTTTACTGATTGTATTCTCTTTCATGTCAGTCTTTGCGCTCTGTTGCGTATAATATTTGATTTCTCATTTTAGATCTTTCGCTTATTTGAAAATACACATGAAAATCCCATATTTTAGATACCATGCGCATTTTTAAATAGAAAATCTCAATTTTTGGATACCATACGCATTTTAAAATAGAAAATCCCAAATTTGGGATACCATACGCATTTTTAAATAGAAAATCCCAAATTTGGGATAACATACGCATTTTTAAATAGAAAATCCCAAATTTGGGATACCATACGCATTTTTAAATAGAAAATCCCAAATTTGGGATACCATACGCATTTTTAAATAGAAAATCCCAAATTTGGGATACCATACGCATTTTAAAATAGAAAATCCCAAATTTGGGATAACATACGCATTTTTAAAAAGAAAATTCCAAATTTGGGATACCATACGCATTTTTAAATAGAAAATCCCAAATTTGGGATACCATACGCATTTTTAAATAGAAAATCCCAAATTTGGGATACCATACGTATTTTTAAATAGAAAATCCCTTTAATAGGATGCATACAAGCGAAGGGGGTGGAATTTGTGACTGTGGAGACGATGAAGCATTCACCAGGTACTTCTTTTTAATATTTTTTTTTACTTTTTAAGAACATTATTTTTATTTGAATATTTTCAGTCATTATCTCTGCTCAATTCACGAAGAACAGGTAAAAAAAAATTAATTTTCCAAAATATTTTCTTGATAATTTTTGAACATTTTTCTTAAAAAGTCCAAAATTTTCTTTATTATTCAATGTCAAACCAAACAATTAAGTTTTGTTGCACATTTTTTTCTTAAATTTGGATTGAAGAGGACTAAAGGCGGCCACTTTTAAATGGTTTTCAAAATTTTGGCTGGATCTCTCTCCCCTCCTCCCTCCACCACTCTACCCCTACCCCTACCATTACAAAACAGTTATCTCAGTATCTATCTATCTTGACCTGACCTAACCCGGTATAGAGTGTGCTGTTAAATAGAGTTATGAGGGTGGGGGTCAAGAGTTGGAGAAAGGTTATGATTCTATTTTGTTTAGGCCAAAAATGGGAAGTCCGCCTCTCAAGTGCTAGACTCCTTTCCCGCTGTAAGTTAAAATTGATTTTTAAATTTTTTTTAACTGAACAGGTTAAAACAAAAATAATATTTTTAAAAGAAGTTGTAAGGAATGCAAACTTCATTCTTCAAATCTTTCATTGCCAAATTTCGAAGACAAAAATAAATTAAGGATTTGCGGCAACGTGCATTGGACATACTGTACACCATCAGCTGTTATGTTGTCAATATAGTGGCGGATTTCAAGGTATTTACAATCAATCAATCAAAGTAGGAGTAATATTTCTTTTAGTTTACGTTATTCACCATTCAAGACGTTCATCTTTCCATAATTTTTCAACTTATCATGTAGAATCATAAAAACTATTTTTCAATCAATTAACAAATAAATTAAATTTTTGATCAATTGATCATCCATTAAATTCATGATTTAATTAATTTATCATTCAATCAAATGATCATTTAATCAGTGTATCATTTAATTAGCTGATTGTTCAATTAAAGGATTTTGAATTAATTCATCATTTGATCAATTATCATTCAATCAATATTTTTATTTAATCAATTGAAAATTTGATCAAATTATTAATTAAACAATCATTAAATCATCATATCATTTCAATATTCATTCAATTGAACATTAAATCAAATAATCGCTTGATCAATGATTGATTGATTGAATACTTGATCAGGGTCAGACAGATCTCCGGTCTGCCTTGAAGGAGCAGGAGCTGTTCCCTGACCTGAGATACCCCCTCAAGTACAGTAACTACTGTACTGTACTGCTCAATGATGAGAACCACAGTTACAATGACGTTATTAGGTAATTATCCATCTTGTACTGTACTGTACTGTGCTGTACTGTACTGTACTATACTTTACTGTACTGTACTGGGATGTAATGTAATTTGCTGTACTGTACTGTACTGTACTTTACTGTACTGTACTGTATTGTACTGTATTGTACTGTATTGTACTGTACTGTACTGTACTGTACTGTACTATACTGTACTGTACTGTACTGTACTGTACTGTACTGTACTGTACTGTACTGTACTGTACTGTACTGTACTGTACTGTACTGTTCTGTACTGTACTGTACTGCTCAATGAGAACCCTAGTTACAACGATGTTATCAGTTTAATATCTAAATTTGGACATGATCACCGACTAGGCCAACTCATATTCCTTAGCGTTTTGATTGTATAAAGCGGGAAAATAAATGAGCTATGAAAACCCTCTATTTTTGTTTATAGGATTTGACTGCCTACCCTTGTATTTGTATGAAGAGGGTCGGCTTAAACATTTGCATACATTTTCTAGAATCAATAAATATTAATTATCTTATCTTGCGCACTGTGCAGGGTGCTAACTAAGGTGCTCTCTGGAACTGCAGAGAAAACTATAATAGATTTAACAACCTATGTTGACAAGGAAAACAACAAACATAATTTCAAACTTTTACATCTTTGCTTCAGGGGTATATATATTTTCAAGAATTAATTTTCCTCTAAATAAGTTAAGTTTTCCTAATTCCACAAAAAAACCCTAATATGTGTTTGCTGTTCCAGTATATATTCCTAGTATTTTGGGGGAAAATGATTTTAAAGAAAATATATGCTGAAGCTTTTGCTAAATCCATTTTACAATACAAACTTAATTGAAAATTGGTTCTTTTTTGAGATTTGTTTAAAGGGAGTGACCGTCAATGTAGGGGGTTTAACTGAGATTGGAGTATTGTAGAGAAATTTATTACATTCATTTGAGGCATATAAAACTTTTCCACGATGTATAATTACTGATTTTAAGAGCAAAGTGGATTTTCAAAAATCATCAATTTGGGTAGGTACATTTTGAGAATCGTTTTTTTTTTTAATTATTAAATAACGACGACAAAAATATAGCAAAAATTCTTAAGTAAACTTATTAGATGTTTAGGAACATTCTTAAAAGAAATTTGTCAATAAATCAATGTTAGAATCAATAATTTCGTTTTCATCATTATATTGAATTTCTTATTTTTATGAATTTGTTCGCAGATTTCTACAAATTCTTCAAATGTCGTCTTTTCAATAAAAATTCCAGAAAATCTACAGAAAATCTTTGTGAATAATGAGAGATTACAGAAACTACTAATTAAATAAGATTACTTATATTCAAGGAAAAGAGTTAATTTTAATTTTTTCAACCTGTTCCTAAACAACTAATTAGTTTTCTGAAGAGTTTTGATTACATTTTTTGTCGTCCTTATTTAATAATTTTAAAAAAATCGATTCTCATAACGTTCCTACCCAAATTGATGGTTTTGAACTTCGACTTTGCGCTCAAACTCAGTAATTATAGATCTTAAAAAACGCTTATATGTCTCAAATGAATCCTAAAAAATTTCTCTATAATACTGGAATCTCAGTTCAACCACCATACATTGCCGGTCACTCCTTTTAAAAGCAAATTGACACACAAATAATAAATATACAATACATACAAAAATACAAAGCATTTAAAATGTTGAATTTAAAAACAAAAACAAATTATTTGTTGTTTTATCTGATAGTTCGGAAAAGCTGTGATCAAGGTTGGGAATTATAAAGAGTGTGTTAAAATAAGCTCCAGAATCGATTCTCTTACTAGGATACCGGTAGGTTTTCATCCTGTTCATCCTGTTCATCCTGTTCATCCTGTTCTTCCTGTTCTTCCTGTTCATCCTGTTCATCCTGTTCATCCTGTTCATCCTGTTCATCCTGTTCATCTTTTTCATCCTGTTCATCCTGTTCATCCTGTTCATCCTGTTTATCCTGTT